TGAAAGTTTGGGCTGCCAGAGGGTAAATGGTTGTAAAAGAAAGAATTCCAATTTATGAGGTAACAGGTCTGAATTCAAATCTACATCCTTATGTTTAATTTTAGGCTACAGTGTTTCATCCTTGCTGAGCCAGTTTTCTTAGTAATAGGAGGAGAATAACTCTGACACTGAAACTTTTTTGTTGGGGTGTGTGTGTGTGTGTGTGTGTGTGTGTGTGTACACCCAAGTTTTAGGGTTTTCTTAGGTAAATTCTTAATTCTGCCCCATCAAAGTTCAGGTAGGGGGGCTGGGGAGATGGCTCACTAGAATAAGTGCTTCCCTGGCAAGCGCAAGGGCCTGAGTTCAATTCCCGGTTCCACCAAAAAAAAGAAAATAAAGTTCTGGTGGGAAGAAGAAAAGAAGGCAAGGAAGCCAGGCATGGTCACACAGTTCTGTAATCCCAACACTCTGGAGGCTGAGGCATGAGGGTCGATGCAAGTTCAAGACCAGCCTGGGCTACAAAGTGAGCTCAAGGCCAGCCTGAACTGCATTGCCAGACCCTGTCTCAAAAAGAAAAGAGAAGAGAAGAAAGGAGAGAAGGAGGAAAAGGAGGAGGAGAAGAGAGAAGAGATTAAAAGCTTTGTAGGGTCCTGGCAAGCATATTTTCTCTTTAACCTAGACTAAGAAAACACAGGAGTCCAGCCAGCTCAGTGGCTCACACCTGTAATCCCCGACCACATTGGGAGACTGAGGTGGGAGGATTGGTGTGAGCTTGAGGCCAGCCTGGGCCACACAGTGAGTTCAAGATTAGCCTGAGCTACATAACAAGAAGACTCTGTCTATACACAAACACACATACACACACACACACACACACACACACACACACACCTTAAATAGTAGTTCACTTTCCAGATGCAGCAGTGCTGTGCCCGGATTTGCTGAAATATGGGACGAGGCTCATGAAAGCGTTTTCCTTATCAAACTGATCCCCTTTGCAACAGGTTTTCAAGATCTACCATCAAGCTGTGGCCAGTCTGCCTGGCTTGGGGCCTGAACCTATGGAAAGTGGAGGCGTTTATTGTTCTGTCACCTTAATGATAGACGGCTTGTTAAGGAGGGACCAAAAGGGAAGGGGCTTGGGGTGGTAACTAATGAATTTGAATGATGCCTTATAGCCTTAGAATGAATCCCTGACAGCAAGATGATGGATGTAGAGAAATCTAAATTCTTTTAGTTTTTGGCCAAGGTCCACGTGAGAAGGCTGGTCTGTGTGACTGATTGCTCTGAAGGTAAGATGGATGAGAAATGGGGAAATTCAGAAGAAAAAACTAGGAGACTACGCTTTGGGTGAAAGTAGGCACACTTTTCATGGAATTCCTATTGTTCCCGGCTTTCTTAGTGAAAAGCTCTGATACAGTCCCACAATAAACACAAGGCTTATTTTCTTGGAATGGCCATTTGAACAGAATACCAGGGATGGTTTTGATTCTAAAATATTCCTCTTCAGATTATTTGGGTATATCCGCGAAGTCCTGGGACAGTGTCAAAGCACCAGGTGCCAAGGTTCTTTGGCTGAAGCTTCTGCTAGTAATGAGTAGAGAAAATCTTGTTCATTTTCTTAGCACAGTGTCACAAGTAGGATTCAGACTGGGTCCTCTGGCATCTATATTTACTCAGGGTTTAACCTCAGGGCTAAATAATTTTGTTTTGTTTTTACATTTTCTCTAAGTCCCTTGGAAATAATCCTTGGCTATTTCTTTAAAATGTTTACCCTTATTCTGTTCCCTGTCTCCCTTCTACAACTACCACACAGTTGTACACCAGGCATATTTTCTTTCTGTTTTTGTTTTGTGATGCTGGGGATCAAACCCAGGGCCTCACACACCCTAGGGAAGCTCCACGCCACTGAGCCCCAGCTGCAGTGGGTACATCCCCATCTGAACAAGGTCTCACTTTGTAGCCCAGGCTGGCCTCAACTCCTGGCAGTCCTTTGGCTTCAGCCTCCTGAGTCCTGGGGTAAGAGACATGCACCACCAAGCCTGGCCTGCAGGGGGGTTTCAGCCTTCCTTGAAAGAGGGACAGAGTGAAAATATTTCATGTGTCTGATATAGGCTGCATTTTTATGAATTTGTCATTGTCTGTGACATCTGTGGCAATCTTAAGTGTGCTGGAAGTAATAAAGATAAGACTGGATTTGTGTGTGTGTGTGTGTGTGTGTGTGTGTGTGTGTGTGTGTGTGTGCTGGGAGTAGAACTCAGGACCTGGCACTGGCCAGGCAGGGGCTGTGCTGCTATCTCTCTGGTGAGACTGGGATTTTTAAAGCACCTGCTCATAACTTCTTTTGAGATACCAACTCCCTAATGTCCACTTTACCTTATTATTGAAAACAAAATATTTCCTCTAGGTGTTTTAAAAATATGTAATACCTAGCTCTGGAACACTCTGTTTGCAAACAATTCGGTCCCCAAACAAAGCATTTGGCAGAATTTTGCTTCCATTCCCAAACTCTGCATTGGGTGACAAACATGACCGTGGCTACCTTCTCCACACAAGCACAAGCGTTGCCATCTCCCCAAAAATCATAACACAAATTAAGTTCATAAACTGAGGTGCCACTGTAACACTTAATTCTTTTTGACAATAAAAAAAACCTGTTTGCTAGGGCTGGCCAGATAGCTCAGTGGACTAAAGCACTTGTTGAGGCAGAGTACAGTGGCTGGGGTTCGATCCCCAGCATGCCATGCTGCCCTCCCCCCATGACATGCTGAGATGATTCCTGAGTTGTGCACCTGTAATCCCAGCACTTGGGGGAGGCTGAAAACAGAATCACTATGAGTCCGATCTATGTAGTAAGACCCTGTAGACCCTGTCCTAATACATTCAAAGAAAAAAATTGTTTATTGTAGCAAATATAAAAAAAACAAGGAAAAGAAAAAGGCTACTTTGGTTTTACATCGTCGTGACAAGTAGCTTCTTTTCTTGCCCACCTCCCGGGCCCCCATTCCACCCCCTGTACTAGAGATGGAACCCAGGACCTTCTCAAGGGGAGCTACATCCTCAGCATCTTCTAAAATTTTTAAAACTTTGAGACAGGATCTCACTAAGTTGTCTAGGTTCAGTTAATACTTTTCATACCTTTATAACAAAAGTGGATGCATCCTGAATATGCTATTTTATGATCAACTTTGTCCACTTAGTATCATGGGTGTTGCCAGATGTGGTGGTACACATCTGCAATCCCAGTCCTACATGGTGAGTTCAAGGTCAGCCTGGCACATAGTGAGACAATGTCTCAAAAAGTAAAAAATAAATAATGAAACAACAAAAATCCAAAAACCTGAGTGCCTTTTTTTTTTTTTTTCTTCAGAACTGGTGATGGAACTCAGACCCTTGCGATTGCCAGGGAAGCACTTATTCTCCTGAGCTCTCTCCCCCGCCCCAATTTGAGTGCTTTTCATGTTACTAAAGATTTCTCAAGAATATGATTTTAGTAGTGATTATTCCACAGCAGAGCCATGATTTAGTTTATCCTACTGTTGAATGTTTAAACTGTTTTCTAATTTAAAACAAAGTGAGGGTGTTCTTCCAGTCTCAGTGGCCAGCCATCATACTTGTTCATTCATTTTCCCTGCAGGGGGCCAGCAGACCTAAGCACAGGAGAGATTCCTTAAAGCCTAAATATTTAGATTTAGGAAACCCATCCCGAGCTCCCAGGACTCTATGGGACTTTACCCTTAGAAGGTGTAGAAATGTAAATGAAGGAAACAGAATCCACAACTCTCCTAGTCTCTTGCCCTAGAGGTTTTGGTGTAGGACACCCTGGGAAAGTCAAGCTAAAACAGCAAACACGCTTTGAACGTGGTCGGAGTTCAAAGGGCTTCCTTATTCTCCAAATTGTTTACGTTGCATTAAAATACCTTTTACATCAGAGAGTCTGTGTAGTTCCTATTGGTCAGCGCCAAGATGTTTTAGTCAAACATTGAACCAAGGGGGTTGGATGTTCCTAGTATTCTATTCCCCTTAGTCTAGTTGATAATTGGGGTACACAAGCAGATTTTCCTCTTCCCTTTCGGATCCCTAAGGCTTCCAAAGGGAGTAAGTAATAGAACATTCAAGCAGGTAGATCATTTATTTTATTTATTTTATTTTGGGAACCAGGGATTGAACTCAGGCCCTCGTGCTTGCCAGGGAAACACTTATTCCATTGAGCCATCTCCCCGGCCCAATCGGAAGCATTTATTGTGAAGTGAGTTCCCAATTTGGGAAGATAACTTTTTTTTTTTTTTTTTAAGCTGTCTGAGGAAATCCCTCTCATGGGACCTTGTGGGTTAGGCTGTAGTCACCCATCCACTTACTATGACCATTCCCTCTCCTGGACTCTAGCCGTGGTTTATAAGCAGGAAATGTCCTCAGGTTATGTTGAGTCCCGGTTTCCCCAAGCTTTACTGGGGAGAACTTTCAAAAGTGCATTCCCAGTAAAGCTTGGAAAAACCAGGATTCAATATAACCTGAGGACAAAAAGAAAAAAAAAAGTGCATTCCCAGGTGAATATTGGACACTCTAAAACCCTCATAATAGCAGATTTGTGGTCTCTGCTTCACACACCTGCATGAGTTTGCATTTGTTATTTCTTGGAACCAGGATGGAGGAGGTTGCTCTTTCAGAGTCTGAATAAAACCTTGTTTCTTTTCCTTCTGCTTCCCAGCAGCAGAGCTGACTGTGGCCTGAAACTTAATGGACCAAGTACCTTGAGGGCTCCTCTGGACCTGGACCCTGGAGCAAGGGGCACACCTACAGGCACAAAGACCAGGAAGCGATTTACAGGAAACATTGGGTCTGCCCACCTCAGGAAGCAAGGTCATCATTGCAGCTCTGCCACAAACATGCTATGTAATCTTGGGTGTCCATTTCCAGATCTTTAGCAGGTATCATGAAGGATGCAGTAATTTTCCAGTCTGTGCTCCAGGAGAGCTGTGTCCCTCTCCACTGCCATCCACCTGAGTTTGTGTGGGGTGTTGTCAGGCACTGCCACTGTCCTGGGCCTGGGCACTGCCTGGGGAATGCACGCAGTAGTATTTGTTCACCACATGCCTGCACTGGTCGCACCTGACAGTGCAGCACCAGTGGAATTTACAGTTACAACCGCGCACGGCCTGAGTTCTCCTCTCTTCCACCTGTAGCCCGCACTCGGTGCACAGGCGCCCACAGCTACGCTGTTCCCTCTGGGATGTGTTGAGGCCATTCTGCAGGCATTCTCGACCCTCTGTGCCATGGATGCCCAGGCTGGCATTGCGGGTACAGTAGTCAGGAGATTCCTCTAGAAACACCAGCTCTGCCTCTGCGCTAGGCAGGAAGGCCTCAGTGGGAGCCCAGCGGCCCTCAGCACTGTTGCCAGCCCTTAGGTGCCGCTTGCCCACGTCAATTTTCAGCGCCCGGTCATACTTGGCCTTCAGGTAGCCTCCCATCTCCCGGAAGTCAGCCAGCTGCAGCCAGCACGTCTGGACACTGCAGCTCCCTGAGATGCCGTGACATTTGCAGGTCCTTCTCATGGTGGCTCTCACTGCCTTTATGGAGACACAAAAGAGAATGGCTCTGAGCAAGGGCGGTGGATGGCTGGCTACTCATGAAATGGAATGTTTCAGGGCTATGCTTCTTGGCTTGGGAGAAGCGGGATCACTGGTGAAATATACAAAGATATATTTCTGGGTCTTATATCAGATCTTCTCAATGAGAATGCTTAGGGGTCTAAGGATCATGGTTCTGATGCGGAGCCAGGCAAGTATTGAGGTTACTAGAATTGGGAAACCTAGGGTCTAGGCCTAATGCCATCATCTGTTGAGTATGTCTATTTGCCCAATTGGAATAAGAATTGGATAAAGTAGGGGTCAGGATGTAGCTCAGTGGTAGAGCACTTGCCTAGCATACGTAAGGCCCTAGATATAAGCCCTAACCCTGACCAAAAAAATCAGATGAAATAATAAGAAAGTATAAACTGTGGAGGAAAATATGACCGTACATACTGTTATTGTCTTAAAGTTAAGAGCTAGAGTATTTGTGCTGCTTTGGATTTATTGGGGTCTATGAGGGAAGGAGGTTCCTAGAGTTTGAATCCTTACACTCATAAGTCAATTGTCCATGGGTGTACTTCCTTAAAAAAGTCTTTCCTTGGGCAGGCTCAGTGGATTAAAGTGGCTGTTTAGGCAGACACAGGGGCAGGGGCTTATCCCTGGGCTTGCCAGGCTGGCCCCACCTCTGGGGCTCACTGAGAGGGGATTGAGACTGGGTGTGGTGGCCTGCCTGTAATCCCAGTGCTTGGGAGGCTGAACACAGGCGGATCACTATGAGTCCGATCCACACAGTGAGACCCTGTACTAAATACATTTTTTTAAAAAAGTCTTTTCTTATTCTGGGAAACCAGGACTCTTAAGGACAGGTTCACAGGAAAATTTCTGTAATTTTTGGTTCTAAATCCAACTTGCTCCCAGGTCTGAGTTCAGAATACTCCAGAGGTTGCTACCCTACCAGAAGTCTTAGGGACAGTACCAAAAGAAGTCTAGATCAGTTCCAGACTGTATGTAGGACATAAGGTTGAACAATAAGCTCCTATTCATGTCCTAGAACAGGCAGTTAATGTGATTAAAATTGTAAGTCATGGAAGCAAGGGTTTTGGTTTTGTTTTTGCAGTGCTGAAGAGAACCCAGGACACTTTTGCACTGAACTATATCCCCAGCCCTTTTCATTTTTTAATTTTGAGATAGGATCTCATTAGGTTACTAATTAGCCCAGCCTGGACTCAAAATTTTTCTTTCCAACTTAGCCTTCTAGAGTGCTGAAATTATAGGCCTGAGCCACCATGCCTGGTTGCAAAGCCATGTTTGTTTTTGTTTTTGTTTTGAGACAGTATTTCTATGTAGTTTAAGCAGGTTTTAAATTCATTATGTACCCTAGGCTGGGTTTGAACATAGTGATCCTCCTGCCTCAGCTCCTGAGTACAGGGATTACAGATGTGTGCCATCATGCTTGACTATGAATTCTATATGATTCTGCGTACGCAGAAAAATGCCTGGGGGAAGGCCAGAGCATAAGCTTTTGTGATAAGACTAGAAAGTCTGAGTTCATTGCCCAGGCCTGATGCTTATTACTTGTATTGCCTTGGACAAGCTACTTGTTCTAACTTAACTGGCTTTGTCATGCAGAGAATGAGGACAGCTGTCTCAGTCTTGCTAGAGGGTTGTGAGAATGAAACATGGGTACAAACTGCTTTTGGTAAGCTGTGAAGGGCCGTGCAGATGTGAAGCTGTTGCCAATACGGACCAACTCCCATACCCACCAGCCTGCCGGCCCTGTTGTTGTGAAGGTTCATCAGGGCTCTGGCATCCTTTCCCTTCTCCAAACTGTCCACAAAGAGTTTGGAGATCCTTTCCCCAAATTCCACATTGTCGCTGCAGCCGCCCCAGATCCAGCCATGGCCTCCTACACACAAGGAAAGAATAAGTTCTGCATAGTTCCCTGCTAAGTCCCAGGGGAAGAGTCGTGATCTTTCTGGCCAACACAGCCAAGGCATTCCCCAGGAGACCTAGGAAGGTGTGAAGGCAAGACTGAAGGTGAAACCAGGCAATGCAGGTTTGGTCATGTGTCCAAAGCCAACTTGAGGCACTTCCCAGCTCTAGCTCAGTGATAATTCTTCTATCCCCCAGTAAATACGGGCATGCTGGGGCTGGCCTAAATGATCTCAAAGCTTCCTTCAGCTCAGACATTCTGAAATTGTGAAACATCGTTATTCTTTTTTTTTTTTTTTTTGCAGAACCGGGGATTGAACTCAGGCCCTTGCGCTTGCCAGGCAAGCGCTTATTCTACTGCACCATCTCCCCAGGCAAAGCATCGTTATTCTACAATCGTCTTGTTTGAGCAACCTCTTCCCTCATTAATGACAAATCTGAGAACATCTGCTAGGTATCTGCAAGTGGCTGAGTAGCCCTGGGTTAGTGACAAGCCTTTCCAATACAATGGCTGGCTGTCAGCTCCCTTTGGCCCTCGCATCCCTGGTCTCTGGTTGGCTTTAGAGATGCAGTCCTTGCTAAACCCTGGCTTCATGGACCCAGGCTTCCCTCTCTAGGTCTAGGAACTCCCACAGTTGAAGAGGCCACAGAGCCTGGGTGTTGAGACAGCTGTGTCCCTCTGCCTTTCCTGGAAGTTGTCACCTACCTTTAGCTCTGCAGCCGCTCACCTCTTCCTACCCTCCCCAGAGAGCCCTACTCACCTGTTTTTCCCTTTTTTGACTCATCACAGCCACAACTTTCAAAGTCGCCCATGCTACAGTTCTTGGTGATGGTATACATGACTCCAGCAGAGCTGATAGCATGAATGAAGGAAGTCTCTCTGGTGGCTTTGGAGAGAAAGAGGGGACTTGCTAGAAACTGGATACTGAAGGCCCAAAGTAGAGGCTCTGGGAAAACAATGCCACTTTGCCTCCCCATTCCCCACTCCCCACCCTCCATCCTTTGGACCTAAGAAGATGCTCTTCTCACTTCGTCCTGGCACAAATGAGCATTCCCATGGGATCAGGACCTGTCCTGAAGTCCATCCAGCAGCCACTGCAGTTGGGCCTGGGCTGTGAAGCACATGCCTTTTTTCCCACTGTGCAGCATGGGCCTTTGGTGATCATGATCAATCACTGTGGCAGTGACCACTGAGCTCTTCACAGACACCCACACCTGTCATTTCCACTCACCAGTCATCCCTGTGCACCCTGTGAGACAATAACTCTTTCTGTGCCCATCTTCTTTCCTCGCCTTTCCCTACCTCCTCTCAGGCAATTCCACTTTCCTACTTTTAGCTGGGCCTGGTGGTGTACACCTGTCATCCTAGCTACTCAGGAGTCCAAGGCAGGAGACTTACAAGTTTCAGCCCAGCAACAGGAATTCAGTGACTTAGCAAGAACTGGTTACACACAAATATATATATATATAT